CTTCTTCTCTCTTTCATTAATAATGTCCTTGATGATCTTGTCTTAATTGGGTCTTTTTTTGTTTGGTGATAGAAGGTGGGATCGGGGAGAGGAATAAGGGTCCTGTTGATGAGAATGAATTGGTGTTGGATGGAGGATTTGTGGTGCCTGAGACAATGCCTGATGAGGGATTTGTGGCCCCTGATACCAACTCTTTTGGTCACACTTTCAGGTCTTGCTCTTTGCATTTCTTCCTGAACTCATACAAAATTTCTGTTTGACAATGCTGTTTCCTGTTGCAAATGAATAAGAAAAATGGTTGAGAAAAGGAAAAAACACAAAGGGTTGACTCAATTGATAACTTTGCCTATGACATTATGGTCCTAAATGCACAATTTTTTTGTGAGCACATCTTGCCCTACTGTCACTAGGAGATTTATTGGACAAACAGAAGGAGCCATTTAGATATTTTTCAATTTTTAACTTAAATTTTACTGTAGCCAAATTCACAACTGCAAGACCTAAACAATAGATAGAGCCAAGGCCCAAAAAACTCTCGGTTTGATTACCATTTGATTTGTTAGTGAGAATGGCCTTCAAAGGAGACCCAAGTTTTTAATCAGAGGCTCAGAGCTAATCTATTCCTGTTGATGGAAAGCAGAGATTACCATGTGGAAAGTGAAAGGCAAAAGGGTGTTGAAGATTTTTACAGAACAAATCACATTAACCAGACTGTTGACTTTGTAAGTGATTTGCCTAACTGGTTTCATTTTCTTACTGTTGAAATAAAAAGGAACAATGAAAAATGATTCTAAAAATTTATACCATGTGAATGAGCAGGTGAGGAGGATGAGAGGGGAATATGGGAAACTGAACAAGGTGGAAATGAGCATCTGGGAATGCTGTGAACTTCTTAATGAGTTTGTTGATGAGAGTGATCCTGACTTGGATGAACCTCAAATTGAGCACCTGCTGCAAACTGCTGAAGCTATTAGAAAAGACTATCCAGATGAGGACTGGCTCCACTTAACTGGCCTTATCCATGGTATATGATGTCCTGTTACAATACTCTCATTTGACTGATTGAACTCCATAATGTTTCCTACTTTCCAAGGCAAATAAAAATTATACATTAAATACAATAATTTTAATTTTAAGTTTATTTCATTATGTGTTGTAGATCTTGGAAAAGTTCTTCTTCATCCTGCTTTTGGGGAGCTTCCTCAATGGGCTGTCGTGGGTGAGTGCCTCCTTCTTCTCTCTCTTGTCTTGCTGTTTAATCTGTACAATTAAAACAGATTGTGTTTCCATTATTGCACCTACTAATTACTGATGATTGCTGTCATTCCAGGTGATACATTTCCTGTTGGGTGTGCCTATGATGAATCAATCGTTCACCACAAGGTCAGTATCTTGAATCTTTATCATGAACATTCATATTATCCACAGATTATTCTTTTTTATGCTCACTTCAGCCACTAGAATTATTTCTGATTTCCATGTTGCTAGTTTCTAACATTTCTTGGGCATGTTCCTACAGTATTTCCTGGAAAATCCAGACTACAAAAACCCTGTCTATAACACTAAATATGGGATTTACTCAGAAGGTTGTGGACTGGACAATGTGTTGATGTCATGGGGGCATGATGACTACATGTACTTGGTATACTTCCAAAGATATTTTCGAATTTTTTCTTTATTTTTTAATTTTACTGTTAACTGTGTTATGCTTTTATATTCCATGTTTCAATGACAAGAGTTAACTTTTGTTATTCTATATTTCAGGTTGCTAAGGAGAACAAAAGCGCATTTCCTTCAGCTGGTCTATTCATCATAAGATATCACTCCTTCTATGGTAAACAGTAACCAGAATGATTCATTTTTTAGTGTTATAAGCTAAAATGACATCATTCTAACAAATTTGAAATACCTTTTGTTGGAACCATACAACTTGCAGCTTTACATAGAGCTGATGCCTATAAGCACTTAATGAATGAAGAAGATATTGAGAATCTGAAATGGCTGAAAATATTCAAGTAAGAATGTACCCTTCTTGTTGTTTAATCAACTCTATCTGAAGGGAAGATCATTTTTATCTAAACATTTCCTTCTTTTGCTGGCTTTTGCAGCAAATATGACCTTTACAGCAAGAGCAAAGTCCGCATAGATGTTGAGGAAGTCAAGCCATACTACTTATCTCTGATAAAGAAGGTAAATTCCCTTTTCCAAAGCCTTTAATCACCAGGATGATCACATATAATTGTAAATTCATTTGTTCTAAAATACTTTAAACAACTCTTTTCCATGCAGTACTTCCCAGCCAAGCTCAAATGGTGACTTTGGAAGCAGGAGCATACTAGTAATTAGCAGCATAAAGGACAGGATCAGTCAGGATGCATGAATTTCTGCTGTGTTCTTTTGTGTTTGATCTCTCTTTTCTCTTCCTATTTTTAGCAGTAAAACGGGGTTACTAGAGAGAGTTGGAAGGTAGGAATAAAAGGGTGGTTTCTATTTTTAGTAATGTGTCGGTTTTCTTTTTTATTTTTAGTAAAGAAATGTACTAACTGCTTTGCCTTCAATAAGACTTAGATTATATGTATAAATCCATCTTTGTACCTTCTTTAGCTGATTTATCTCTAATGGCTTTGTATGTGATAAGGAAAAACCAGAAATGGGAAAGAGGAAAGGAGCTTCACATGTTACTACATGATTGCTTCTTTGTTTTGTAGTGAACAACAGTCAGGGGATCATTGTTTCTTGGTCTCCTTTCTTCTTATAAAAACAAACAAAGAAAAAAAAAAACAAAGAGATTCCAACCAAAGTTTCTTGACTTGTAGGAAATGTCATCACTATTAGATGGTGATATTAAGTATCTTAACTCAATTATAAATAATGATTTTTTATATTAAATTTCAATTTTATATATTATTATTGTTTATAAATTACTAATAATTATTAAAATTCATTAATTATTTTAAATTTTAATTTATTTTCTTACAATTAAATTAAATTTTTATTAATGATAAACATAAAAACAAATGAAATGCAATTCTAATGCTTCTACTTTTCCTCTTGACTTATCTCTACTAGCATTATGAATAAATATGAGTATAGAACACTAAAATAAAAGAATTTAAAAAAAAAATTAAAAAACTTAAACAAATAATATGTGACACTTATCCCTAATAAAAACGGGTGAAATATAATAATGAAAATTTGATTAGTCATAATAAGAGTTTAAGTCGTCCTAAATCATGAGTATTGAAATAATTTGAGCGAAAATTTTGACCTTTATCCCTCAAATGAAAATTTTTAACTTTTAAAATATGAATTTCAGTCATTTTCCATATCAATATCAACAATGTTTAAATCCCTTACTCTACCTATCAATGCATTCACACTTTGAAAGACTAATGTGTTTATCTATACCTAACCAAAACCAGGTAAAACCAACAAGTAGGAAAAAACTTGGCCTTCTACCTAAAATAAGCCAATGGGTGTCTTTACTTATTTATTGACATTTTAATTGGAATAATTTGGTGCTTTAATTGTCTTTATTTTCCATGGCTACTGTAGCTCTGGTCAGCTGCTGACAAATATGCACAAGGTGGCGTATACTACAAAAAAAAGTCAGCAAAAATTTAATTGGTAATGGATTGTTAGCAAGCACCTAGAAGCTCAACAAGGAAATCTGAAAAAAAGTTCTGATTGTTCAATATTACCTTACATTTTTTATGCTTTTTTTTTTAAATTTTTGTATGTCTTATTATTATAAACTTGAAAAAGACTTGACAACTATTCAATGTATCAAATAAAACTATCATTTTGCTTTGAACTGATTAAACTGATTAGTCTTGGAATTATATCAAAATGTACTTTGGTTTCAGTTTCACTACCATTAGGGAACTGTCCCTAGTCTCCTCCTATGTTAGAACTCACAAGTCATAGCACAAGGAATATTCTCATATTGAAACCTATAGCTGGAGCTTGAGCAGAAACCAAAATATCTTTACTAGAAAAAAAAATTAGATTTTAATGACAAGAGAGAGATCTTAGAGAGCATTGTCCAATGAATGTAGTTGTGAGTTGGGTACTTGGTTGGTGGCGGGTGGGATTTTAGACAAACCCCTTTGTTCCGGTTAGGTACTTCATTTTCCCATTTTTCTTTTTATTTTTTCCTTTATATACCATAAACATGCACAATAATATTCAAAATTTCAACATAATAATCTAAACAGTACTATTATAGATTTGACCATTTGTCTTTTGTTTTATTCTAAAATAGACATAAAGATTGATAATTTGATAAATATATGCATATATACACTCCAGGCTATAGTTAAAAGAGTGTTGTTTTGTCTCTTGATGGGGTGTTTTAGTTTATAAGTTTATTTTGCTTCCCTCTGTTGCCGTTGTTGACCATGACCCTCTCTTTTGAAGTTTAGCTGTAATATTTTATATATATTTTTGCATACGCACAGTGGAAAAAACAAGCCCTTCGTTTTTTGGTGGTTGTGGTCTGAATTTTTTGAGGTTTGTTTATTCGTTTGCTTTTGTTTCTTATAGATTGGTTTGGTCAGTGGTCTTTATGATGAATGATCAATTGTTGGTTTCTCTCAGATTAATGGATGAACAGAAGCTGGGTTCTTTTTCATTTGAAGTAAAGTTTTGTTCTTTTGGATAAAGAGTGTTCCTCTGGTCTTGTGCTTATCAATCTCATTTTTGCTGATTTGGGTTCCCTTATTCTTGAGATTTTCATTGGTGGGTTTGTGGTTTAATTTTCACATCTTACTGCAATCCTGGGAATTTTTTGGGATTTTGCTTTGTTTTATAAGTTAAATACTAAATACAGTTAAAATTGTTGGAAATTTTGGAGTTAAATCTTGCCCCTTCGGTAGTCTTGGTTGGTGGGTCAAGAAGATCAAGGAAAATGAAAGGAAAAGCTGGGACTCCAGGGAATTTCTTTGTGTTGAATACTGGAGCTAAAATTCCTGCCATTGGGCTTGGGACATGGCAGAGTGGAGGAGACCTCTGTGTTGACGCTGTGAAGACAGCATTGTCGGTTGGTTACCGCCATATAGATTGTGCACATCTTTATGGAAATGAGATTGAAGTTGGGGAAGCATTGGCTGAAGCCTTCAAAGGTTCTTTGAAACGAGAGGATGTTTTTTTGACCTCTAAGCTTTATTGCACTATGAATTCACTGAATAAGATTGAGAATTACGTTAGGGTGTCTCTTAAGAATCTCGGAGTTTCCTACTTGGATCTTTATTTGATGCATTGGCCTGAGAGTTCAGCTTTCGGAGATGCAACTGATCCTCCTTCGAAGTCTGGGAGTCAGCATAGGCAGTTTTTGAATCGGTTGAAGAAGGTATGGAAGGCCATGGAAAGCCTAGTCGAATTGGGTTTGGTTAGAGCTATTGGTGTCAGCAATTTCAGTGTTCATCAGATCAAAGAACTGCTTAGATTTGCAAAAATCGTTCCTGCAGTTAACCAGGTTTGATAGATATCACACTTCTTGAATTTGAATTTATTCTAATTTCTGTAATTCTTGCATAAAACTATTTTCCTTTGCATTGATTTGTTGAGAACTTTACTGTGAAGTAAATTCATAACTAGTTGGAGAGCCGGCCACAAATTTCTTTTGAATTATCATGTAATGATACAGTCTAATGGTCTTTTGTACTTGCACCCTGTTTATACATTTAACTAGAGGAGGTTTTTGCGTTGGTTCTCTTCTCGATCAAAATTTATTCACCGGTTAGGAGCTTAGAGTCAGAGAGCTCCAGTACCTTGGTATCACAAAACGATGAAAGAAAATGACTCTCTACAACTTTTGAGTATGGATCTGCAAAACCTGAGGCAAACTTTATTAGCTGATTCACAAGAATATTTGTTTATGTTGTTGTTGATTTTGGAATTTTGATGATTGGTAGTTACTTGATAATCACAGTTATCGAAAGTAGAAGTAACCTGACTGTTTATATCCTGTATGGATGATTTAAAGTTATATGAAAACACCTAGTTGTGTCTATCCCCTTCCTTGTACCTTGAGGCATGTATTTTACTTGGAACTGTCTTTTGGACACAGTGCCTTACTGCAAGAGTCTATCTTTGATTAACATGTTACCTTCCATATAAAGTACCGAGTTCTTTGAGGGTATGGCATAGATTAGTTGCTAGTACTAGAAAATGTGCCTTTACATGAACCTTTTCCGACTACAATTTAGTGTTGTCAACCAAAAATATGCTTCATTTGATTGACCAGGTTAGTAGCTCGTAATATCTCTTGGCACATACATAGGACCAACTGACCACAAAAGAAATGCAGAAAAGGCTTCCTAAATTGTCTGCCTTGAAGTTTGACCAAAATGACTCAATCCATTTTTCCTTTTAATTAACTTGTGAAGAGATGTATTTTGCATCAGATAAATATCTGTTGTATCTTTCATCAGTTCTTTTCTACATGCTGTTCTATATTATGCCTTTCCTTTTTGTAGTAATTTTGTCTTTTCTATGACTAGGTATCTTCTTTGCAAATTTTTGCTCTTTCAATTGTTTTGCTGTTATTAAAATAGAGTGTTGGAATATTAGGCTCAAGTCTTATGTCCGCAAAATATGTTTATCACTGTATCTTGTAATCCTTTTCCAGAAATAGATTTTTATTCTTCTCATCATTATTCCCATTTTCTTTTCTTTTATTTAAAAGATTACTTCTGGAAAAGTTCATCAACAAGGTCTAGAATTAATTTGTCATTGCTTTTAATAGGTGGAGTTGCATCCTTTCTGGAGGCAAGATGAGCTGGTGAAGTTCTGCCAGTTGAAAGGTATCCATGTATCTGCTCACACACCTTTGGGAGTACCTACTTCAAGTCCTGGAGTGTCTGATAGTGGATCAGGTGGTGAAGATGAACCTGGAACTCCTCGCATTTCATTTAGGAGGTCTAGATCAGTACATGGACCAATGCTGAAGTTGTCAGTTGTTGGAGAGATAGCAGATAGGCACAAGAAGACACCTGAGCAGGTATTTTCTTTTATAACCGTATCATGTCTATTTTTGCTGAATATGTACAATACTAGCATTCTTTCTATTTGTTTCTGACCTCAAGTAGGCTAATGAATGGTTTCAAATCTGTTGACTATATGTTACCCTTCTCATCCCATCCATTTAAAAATCAACACTAATGATCCTGGTTTCAGTGAAATGGGTACTTTACGAATTAAAAAGCGGAAAAAAGAGTGGGACTCAGAACAACCCTTTGAACTTTCCAAAATTGATGTAAGCTAAATAGCGAACGTATTCTTTTATCCTCCACTTGATGTCAGTCCATGGAACCTATGTAGAATGCTGTTACATATTATTCTGAATATCAAGACTTTATAAGGTTGGTAAAATTGCTAGTACATATATAAATGAGACATAAGCATTGATGTTAGACTTCTGTATCTATGTTTTGCTGACTCCTAGTATGAGCAATAAGTGGAAGATACAATCACAAATACAAAATCCACTATTTTTATATTTTTACCAGTGCCTGAAAGTGCATGAGAGTTTAACTGAGGCTGTAAACTTTATTTAATAGGAGTAACATGAAATGTAAATAGAAAAACCTTTAAAT